TTTCAGCCCCTTAACTTGTGTGGTTCCCGAGATCGCTTTCCCGCCAAAAAATTTGCATATTTTTTTGAAGCGTCCGTATGCGCCACCTAGGCGCCCGCGGAGGATGAGATTAAAACGGGAGGGTCGCGTATGGTATGGGCACATGCTCCCAAAGTTTCAGTCTTCCAGCTTTTCTGATTCTCGAGTTGAAAGTGGGTAAGTGCGAACACACACAAACACACACACACAGCCTCTTCCCAATATGCGTTTTTGCAATTTGTATATATGCAGAAACGCATAAAAATTTCGAAATATTAGGAAAACATTTAAAAAATAGAAAAATCTCAAAATCTAGCATAAACGTAACAAATTTAGACAAATTTCCAGCGAAACAGGAGTGTAACAAGCTTTTTGTTCCTTCAGTGAAAGAAGTACGAAAATCTCAGGCGCATAGTTGAAATTATACAAATTTGCGTATTCAGTGCTTAATTGGGCTAAATTTTTGCTACAGATGACCATTTTTTTCCGAATAAATTAAACACATACGTATAAAAATGGTTTGTTTTCATTCTGTCTATATTTATACTACTGCTTCTGTATGCGTGTTTCTTCTACTTTATTTTTATTCAGTATTTTCTTAAAGATTTAATGGTACCTTTATTCTCACCCTACTCAAAATCACTACTTTTCTGGTAAACCCGAAAACACAAAAAATTACATGTAAAGGGATACCTAAGCCAATTTTTGCAGAAATAACTATTTTACACTGTTTGTATTAAATTAATATACAATGAAAGTGCTTTATACAGAATTGTTTTGGTTTCCCAAATATGCCCTGCAGTCGAAACAGAAACAATTACATACTTTTCAATCTAAAACGAATTTTATTTCACTCTACTTTTTATTTTTTCTAAAGTTTCCACTCAAAATTCCCTTGAACACAATATTACTCTTATATTTTCTCACTTATTCACTGCTGTATTGTCTGCATTGCATCAGTTGTGGTAATGGTAAGAAATGTATATGACTTGATGGGCCGAAACATTTCTTGGCAATTATAAATACTTTAATATTCCCCTTCGCCTTTTTCCACTTCGTCTTCCTTCTTCCTTTTCCTCATTTTCTACCTTACCTTTAAATAAAAGAAAAAATTAATTTTATTTTACGCCCACATTTGGTTTTTTTTTTTTTATTCATATTTCATTTCTAGTTTAAAATGGTTAGAAAATTCATACGTAAAAGGTTCAAAATCTGTTGCGAGAAATAAACTTCACATGAAACGTAAGAAAACCTAAGGTGCTTAAAATAGTCAACAGGAACGAAATACCCTTACCGGATCTGTGGTTATATCGTCTGCCGCTGCTGTTGCAGATGGCGAACATGCTGTTGCACCGGTACCATCCGAGGCCCCATCTTCTGTTTCATCCATAATAAGACCTGTAAAAAAAAAATTATATGCATTTTTTCGAAAAAAACACAAGAACGCTGGCAACCGAGACGACAATAGCACTGCAACTGCATATCAAAAGTCAAAACCCTCTACGTATTCGCTCTCAACAGGAGACGGAGACGCTCAAAAACAGTCACAGGGTGATAGCAACTGTGCCAACAAACATTCTAATTTGCATTTTCAATGAATAATCGAAAACAATTAAATCCCCACCCCCCCTTCATGCAAAATTTACGGTAATCATGCATGCTGGAAGTTAGGATTTCACGCGGTCTCGTGATGCAACACTGCCATCCCAGCCGATGTCTTTTCCCCACGGTTGAATTCAACCGCTTCTCTTTCCATTTCTACTTCTTTTTTCTCCCTTTCCCCCTTTCTCCTATTCTACACACTGCATCACTGAGAGCCATATAGAATTCCAGTTGTGATGCTGAACAGGAATGTAAACGACTTTGGGGGCCGAACTGCTGCCACTGTGGCTACTTCTAGACCCCTTTCTTTCCATTCCCCCCCCCCCTTTTTTCCACTTTCCTCCCTTAATTTAGATGCTACACTAACAAACGTTATACTGATGAGGTCCAGTTGTAGTAATGAAAAGGAATTGACGAACCTAACCAATCCTCTAAGAAATTCTTTTTCCGTTTATCCCACTTTCTATTCCTTTTATTCTTTGCTTAACCCTCCGTCTTATTAATTCCTCGGCTATTAGTCTCCAAAGCACCACGGCAAGTAACCAGCCTATGACAAAACAGGAAATATGGTAAATTTCCGAATTCTTTAACCTCCAGAAAGGGCAAGCATACCACATTCTAGACCACGGGTGGGCAACATTTTGGCCCGCGGAAGGAATCGGAATGTGATGTCTAACTAGACGAACAAGAGTTTGTATTCCGCCACGCTTCTACACTCTCATGAAAATAAATAAAACTAAAATACGAGCAAGGCTAACAGATGACAGTCTGGAAAATACTTTGAGACACCGTGTGTCAGTGATATAAATCCAGATTTCAACAATCTTTTGTCAAAAAGTTCAAACTCAGCTCTCACCAAATTAACTTGTTGTTGTTTATCTTTTTTCTCCTGAATGAACAACCTGATAAAAATTTATTTTTTAATGCATTTTTGCATCTTATGCAAATGCAAAATGCATAATTTCAAGAGCATTTCGCTGCCAACGCCTTTTTCCCACCACATGCAAGAAAAGACCAAAACACATACTGACGGGTCCAGAGGGAGTGAGGGGTCTTTTGTCCCCTCCTTCCTCCCTGGCGACGCAGCTTTCAGTGCTAAAAGTGAAGAAAACTACCTTTCATATCACTCGTCGCCCCCCTTCCCCAAGGAGTCTCACTTTTTCCCTCTCGTTGCCTGTAAAAGCGATGAACGAGGGAGGGGAGGAATGAAGCCACTGGGGTAGAGGGAGGGGTTGCGGGGAGAGGAGAGGGGAGGAAAATCAGCCCCCCCCCCCGGAAATCGCCCTGGATCGGCCTGTAAAAACACAGGGCCATATTCGCAAACGATCTGATCGCGTCAAGTTTAGCGCAAGAACGCATGAATGCACGGGCAAGCCCTTGTGCGGTGCTACCTGGGCTTTATAAAAAGGTAGCCCACGTAAGCTTAAGTAAGTATGTAAATCAACCCTGTGTGTCGCCAAAGTTTGCTCGCGCCCACGTAAAACAGGGCCCCAGGTATCCATTTGGGAAACTACTAAGTCTCGGCCCGGCCGGCTCTGGGTGTCGATTTGCGATAATTGGAAGCTGAGTTAGATTACGGGGAGGGGATTACTAAAACTCGGCCTGGCTCGGCTCGACCGGCGCCATACACGATTTGCGAAAAATTTTTTCTGTGACGGTGGGTAGGCCTACCCAAGGGAGATTGTCTGGGGGGGGGGGGGGGGGGGGGGGGGGGGGGGGGGGGGGGGGGG